TGACCGAGTCGGCTGGACCGACAGCGCCTCTGACGGAAGTCTAATTAACTTGCTGATTTTGCGAGCGGCGATAGTTTGTTTGCCCACCGAAGCAGCCGCCGCCCAGGTCGCGAAAACTCGTCGCGGGCGATTCGCTACACCGCAACCGGACCGGGTCGACTAAAGCACTCTACACTCAAAAAAAAGAATCATTGTACCAACGACATGAGTTGTACCTCCAACAACATTTTGTTCTTGGAATGGCTTCAGAAACATAGGATGCTATTCCAACGACCATGGTTGCTGGCTCAACGACATGGTCGGTGGCACAACTACCGGTTGTCATAGGGTTAGCAACATCGTGTCTTTGGACCAACAACCCGGCCGCAAGAACACGACGGTCGTTGGAACAATGATTCTTTTTTTTCAGTGTATGAGGTCGGCCCGTGTCTGCCACAATCTCCAATGTTCCCATTTTCTTTTTGTTGGGGAGGGGGACTTTATGGGATAGCATTATTTTCACTAATGAATTACTACTCAAGCGTAATTAAGGGGTATTATGTCGAACTAGACGTCTATGTGTAAGTACATCCAGACCGGATACAAATTTGCTTCCAAAACTGGACAAAAAGCATAAAGTCTTTAAACGATCTATTCTGTTTTCGTTACAAATTTGTACCCGGTCTGGATGTGCACGGGAACGTCGCAAGTTGAGGAACAAAATCGTTGGCGGGGGTAGGCTGGACTTGTCCGGGTCCGCCGAGCGGTCGGACGCACCGCACCGCGCAGACGTCGAATGGGTTGCCTGCTCGCCGGGCGCACCGGCCGCTTAGAGACTCGCTCCACTCTCCAGTCACCGGCCCGCCAAACGCCTCTCTTCTTCAAAGGTGTGTGTATTTAAGTACTACGATGAGGTATTATATACAGTGCGAATTTCGTTATACTGCATTAAAACTCTAAAATACGTATACAAAAGAAATGACCATACGGTTTTTTTTAAATAGAAGGTTGTCGTGAAAAATAAAGATACATTCTAACAATTCTAAACCTCTACTCCCCTTTCCACTTTTCACTTAACCTTCTCCGGGACGTGAGGTTCCGAGAGGGCAGCGCGGTGCGTCGGCCCTGGCCGGCCCCTCCCCAAGCAGAGCCATTTCACGGTCATTTGGTGTGCGTTAGCGCGCGGCGCTGGGGCGGGCCGCTCAAGAATGCGGCGCCTATAGGAGACGACGACGTCGTCGCGCCGGGGACGGCGAGGATGTCCCGGCGGCTGGACGGGGGACCTGGGCCGCGACAAGTTATGCCCCAGGCGGCGGCGGCCGGGACCGCCTCAACGGCCTCCTCGGGCGGCGCGCACCCTCCGCACCGCCGAGGACCAGGACGAGGAGGGAGAGCAGGAGGAGGAGGAGGAGGACGGCGTTAGACTCGTCCTTGGCATTTCACGGAGCGACGCGACAAGACGACGGGGCCTTTTATTGTGACAGCATGTTTAGTCATGGCTCGGCGGGTGCTCGTGTGGGTGCGAGAGAGAGAGAGAGAGAAGGCGCTATACAGGCGGACACAACTCCCATACCGTGTGGGTGCGAGCGAGACGGAGCGAGGCGCAGGTGACACTTCCCGATACAACGCCGGCGACATGTTCTCGTCCGTCCGCCCGCCGTCTCCGCGTCATGTCACGTACCCCCCCC